CTTAGCAACGGCAGGAACTGCTTCGATAGCGTTTTTGAGAAGCTTTTTGATTACAGATTTGAAAACATCGCTCCTTGCTTTAAAAGTAGCACAGTTCATTATGTCAAACCTTGGAAAGTATCTAGATATCCCTGCCCTAATGCCAAAGTAACTGCACACTGAATATGTGTCGCCGTCTGATGTCTATGTCTGGACCGCTGCGTAAAAAGGAGGATTTCTGCCCGTTACTTCTCCGCTGTTTTTTAACGGACGTTGTCTGATTATATAATCATATGCGCGGGCCGCTAGTGTCTGTTGATCTCCAGATTAACAGCAGCATGAGAATAACCTGCCGAAAGTGCCGATGCTCCATGGCGGAGGCTCCGCTAGAAATTGCCGGGATTTGCGTTTTTACCCCCCTTAATGTCTGACCAATGGTTGAACAGCATTTCCGAGCAGATGACTTGTGTTTAAAGTTTATAGTCCGTTTGTGTTTTGCCCGTGTGAACGCAAACCGAACCTTCTGAAAAATGAAACAATGTAACAAACTGTGGTCTGGTGCGCACCAGAGAGCGGACTATCAGGTGTGAATGCACCCTTAATGTATATATGTTATCCTCTCTCCACATGTGTCAGGATGCATTGCCACTGACCTGCAGACAGTCGAGCGAGGTGATGACGATTCGAGGACATTTTGACTGACAGGCCAACTCGAACGGCAGGAAGTACTTGTCGGCTTCGATGAAGTTGGTTTTGGATTTGATGGGAGGTAAAGTGCTGGAGCCGGACTTCACATCACTAGGAGGAGGACTGAAGAAGAAGAGAGGAACACACACATCATGCAGGGTCTGAAAATCACCCTGACACACACACACACACACACACACACACACACACACACACACACACACACACACACACACACACACACACACACACACACACACACACACACACACACACAAACACACACACACACACACACACACACACACACACACACACACACACACACACACACACACACACACACACACACACACACACACACACACACACACACACAATGAATGCTTACCTTAATTGCTCTGCTTCCTCTTTGATTTCCTCTGAAAAACAAGACACAGAAAGTAGAGTTAGTGGAGGAGGAACCGTTTGAATCAGATAATAGGATGTCCAGGTGTTAAAATGATGCATTAGTGCAAAATAAAGTGTGTGTGAGATTGGAGATCCTATAACTAATGACATATCCACTGATGGCACACATGCAAACACAGGCAGACCACAAGCTAATACCTATTACTGATTTATATGCAGGGTTCATGATTTTCCTGTTGTCTAAGCGTCACTGTGTTGTGATGGTGATGCTGTTTGTTGATGCCCCCCCTCCCTGTGCAGAGGATTCTGGGTAATGTTTCCCTGCACACACACAACCCTTTTAAACCCTGTGATGTTGCAGTGAAGCAGCCCAATCATCTCTCTGCAGGAAGTGTAACAGAGAAGTACGGCTAACCGTGAGGGACAAAAAGCAAAGCCAAGTGTTTCATTCTGAAGCCACGGAGAGATAATCAATCCTATGCATCATTTGTTGGGTTCCTGTGGCTTCCACCAAACCCAGAGGAAGTGGTTGATAATATCCAGATTTCAGCGGGATGCAGAGACATTAGAGGAGCTTCCTGCAAACTGAACATCCTCTTCATCTTCCTCCTCTTCCTCCCTGACTTTGATCCACATATCAGACATTATGAGCATTAATGTGAAGACACTCATCTCAGGTCTATATTTAACTTTCTCTCATCAACAAGAGTCGTGTCCAGACTTCCTCTTTCTCTGCAGTTATTGCTCTGAAGAACCAGCAGCAGGAACACACATATCATCCAGATTCAGACACAACGCAAGTGTACTGACAATAATCTCACAAAACAATAAGCATCTGATACAGGGTTTGGCTTTCAGGAAATCAGGTGTAAAATGTTATTGTGGCCAAAGTAATCCTCATAACGTGCCATCTCTAACATCCCATTCAAACATAGTGAAATAGTACATATCACACCTTATTCTAACGGTACGTCCACACAGCAGCTTTGAAAAAATCTTGAAAATCTTGGAGCTGGGCGTGTCTGAGAGCTTGGGGATTTTTCGCCAGCAACCCGACCAACAACCAATCACATGAATCTCCCGCCCCCGGCATACAAAGCAAAAAACCCCGGGGATTTTATGCGAGCAATATATATATATATATAAACTCCCCGAACAGGCGAAAACCTACCAGTTTCACCCACTGTCTCTGCCACCTCCCTCCATGCCTGGTTCCTCCGGTTTGTATCCCGGTAAATAGTTCTGGTCGTAAAGAACCGGGTGATTTGCTACCGTAATTTCTCGTTTGGAATATGAGGAAATGAACTGCGGTCTGGCTCTCCCAGCTTGCACGCGGTTTGATTGGCTAGCGCTTGCACTGTCAGATTTGCATAGCAGAGAAGCGTCGGAAGATTTTTTTAAAGCTGCTGTGTGGACTTACCGTAAGATTGTACGCAGATTTTAAAACACTCAAAATACTTATGTAAGCAGGCGACTGTTACTCTTAAGAAGCAGTCAACATCAGGCAATAAAAGCTAGCGTGAGCAGCTACTTCTGCCCTGTTTTTCTCCACGTTAAAAAGCTTCCCTATCACTACAGTGAATACATGCATGTGATGTATCCGCCTGAAGTCTGGGGAACGTTGCTCTGCTGCAGTGTGGATTTATTATCTCGCACTACTAAATGTCTTTATCAGCCTGAGGATTATTTAATAAATGTGGAACTGGAGCCACTGCGACTTTTGGTCTTTGCATTTCTGTGCCAGGGGGCATTTATCTGCATAGCACACAGCTAACGGGCAGGAAGGACGCTGACCGGTAATGAGACGCAAAGGGCATACGTTTAAAATGCAAATCCATGGCTTTTTTCATGTGGTATTTGTCCAATACTGTACCCAGCACAGCAGCAATTTGGATGACATTTGCAGAGAAATGCATGTGCTGCACACAGTTCAACAACACATATTAGGTCTGCAGCAGAGCGCTCTGTCATCATCATTACAGTGCATTATATCATCGGTTTTTTAAGAGACCCAGAGCGCTTTCATCACACCGTGAAAATTGAAGCTTGTCTATCGCATACGAGCGCCACATTTTCCCTCGCCGTGATGCATTTGACACGCCAGTTTTCATCACGTCAGAGAGATTGGCAAGGGCAGAACGAGGCCTGGCAGAACGAGGCGTCCCGATTCGTGTTAGGAGAAATGCCAGGGCATTTTTGTCTGATTTGGACGAGGAACGCAGAGCGGCGAGAGACCGGGAAGAATCCAAACGGAAAGCTTTTGGAGCGCAGGCACTGCCAAGAATATTGGTCTGAACATAATTAGAAAGAAGGGGTTAGCCCAGAGTTAATGCCCCCCTCTGTTTACCTCTGGCTCATAGGTCTTCAGGCTGAACATCAGAGCCATTCGCCAGGCCTGTTTAATATCTGAGCTAATGCTTTACGATAGGAGTAAACAACAACTGGCTTTGTTTCTTTCTCGCAATTGGATTTACAATCAAGAGCAGCAGCGTGGAGAGATATAAGAACCTGAACAAGATTTATATACGAATCGAATGATCCCATTGATTTCTGGGAATTCTGGATTAGGGAACGTTTTAGGAGATACCAAGATAAAGAAAAAACATATTGTTTCCAAAGTCTACAAATTGTCCGTCTGATACAAGGGAAGTTTTACATTTGAGGAATATAAAAACCTCCTGAATAAAATATAATCAAATAAGGAAAAAGTATTTGTCCTACCATATTTATTTAGTTTTAGTTCATCTAACAGTACTTCCACTTCACTACTGCTGAATTCTGTTGGGACGCTTTTATAAGGTGTTTACGGGGCGTTGAAATAACAAATTGGCTGCAAGACTCCGATTTACGAGCAAGTGGGATTTGTCAAACAGACAAGGAGGAGCTGGAGCAGATTTTGGTGGTGAAAAACACCTGGTGCATCTGGAGTTAACTTCTTAGTGTAACACCCGTGTGTGTCCAAATGTTCACAGGTTTTCCACTTATTAAATGTGCGGTTTTGAGTCAGAGATGTTCATTAGCCAGTGTGTTGGAAAGGATGAATAATGCTACCTTTTTTAAACACCGCTGCCAGGTCACCAGATGAGTAATCGCACACCTAGGGGACACATTTCTGCCTGTCTCAATATTTCTTAACCCCCTTTGAAAACAAGTCCTGCAGCGATAACAACACGTTTGCTTTTAATAACAGTGTCATATAAAATAATAATCTGCCTTCGCAATGACCTGGGATTTCTCATTTAGCCCGTGATTGCATGAGAACAAAGGCTCAAGGCGTTCATCAGCGATTCCTATTATTCATTGTGTTCTTTTTGAACCCTGCCAGAGGTCCCTATATCTCATATCTGACGACGTCATGTGAACACGAGCCTCGCACCCTGGAGGGGATGGAGAGGATTATACTGTAAATATGATCCAACACCACACCCAGTGCTTGTCACACACACACACACACACACACACTTTAAATGTGTGTTTTGATTTTGTGTATATATATATAAGTATATACATATTCTTATATATATATTTGTTTTTGTATTCTGGATTGTGGGAAACTGTATTTCGATCTCTCCGTCTGTACACACAAACTGATAGATTGACTTGTGACTTGTGATGTGTGTGTGCGAGCCACAAAAGAAATCCGCAGTAGCTTCAGATCGGTAACGAGACACAATGTCAGCAAGTGGCTCGTCACGCCCGGATGCTCGGCTTAGTTTCAGGAGGAGGGGAAAGGGAAAGATCGTATCCGTGTCAGGTGACGTCTGACTGGACAGTGACGGCGCCTCAACGCAGGTGTAGATAAATGTCGACCGCTGGAAGAGATATCAAATAGTGCTGTTGCGCTGTTTTGGAATTTAAACCCAAAGAAATACTTTTCCTTCCTTGTTTTAAAGCAAGCGACGGGCGAATAATTAACAGGTCAGCAGTGCAAACAGTCGTCTGTTTTTAAATGAGCAAATGTTTAATAAAGGAAATCAAACAACTTTCTTTGGTGTGGGTTTTTTGAGAGGTTTAGAAAATACTTTCTCCTCGTGGGTTTTACTATGTTTGTCCTACATGTTTTCCTATTGCATCACCTTGTAACGGCTGAAAATAAGCAAACAGGATTACAATCACAACTCTAACGGCTACGTCCACACAGCAGCTTTCAAAGAATCTTCCAACGCTTCTCTGCCCATTGACTTTGAATGGGGGTGATGTCACTTTGCCTCGCTTTTCGCCGAACTGCATTGTAAGCAAAGCGAAGATTTTCAGGATTTTCAGGATTCAAAAGTTGAGCAATGTTCAACTTTTGAAGCTGAGCTGGAATCGTCAGCCAATCAAACCCTGCCCGCGTGCAAGCTGGGAGAGACAGACCGCAGTTAATTTCCTCATAGTCCAAACGAGAAATTACGGTAGCAAATCACCCGGTTCTTTACGACCAGAACTATTTACCGGGATACAAACNATCGTCTTTTAGGGTTGCCGGAGCGACGGGAAGGAAACAAATTTGGCCTTCTTCTCCCTCTGTGTGTGTCTCAGAACACACACCTAGACTGGTCAAGTAATGAACTCAATTGACGAAGCCTGACCAGCCCCCCCACCCATCTGTGAGCAAGCTGCGGGGGATTAATGTCACCGAGGTGAAGTGTGGCTGATGGCTGGAGCGCTGGACAGGATATATAAAAGTACTCTTAGTTGAGTAAAACCTTTGAAGTAATAGTACTCTACCTGCTTTGATTTTTACTCCAATACATTCATTTGATAACATTTGTGAAGCTACATAATACAATATGATGCATTGCAATAAAAATAACTTTTAGTTTGACGTTTAGCTCCATGTACTAGACAGGCTACATCATTAATATGCTGCCTTCAAGTGAGTGCATCAATAATTGAACACTCAAAGAATAAGGACTTTGTAGGCGATCTTTAATCCAAAGATAGCCATGTGATGAAAGCCAGACTCCAGTTTTTAATAATACATCCATGACTTTGAAGGCTCATCTGACAAATATACCACTATTAAGAAATGTCACTTATGTTTGCTGAAAAGAAATTAAGCCTAGTTCAGTCTTTTAATTGAATAGAAACACACACATGCTCCCATAGTTGCAATATAAATTGCAACTATGGGAGTCGCAGGATCCATACTTGTAATTTGACATTTTTGAATTGCTACTTTCACTTCAGTAAAGGATGTAAATACTTCTTCCAACGCTGCACACACACGACCACAACCACCAGCGTCCCTCTAACTCTAGTTCAGAGTTGATTACACTCACACGTTTTCTCCACGCACACACACAGTCACTCGTGCAGAAAACCCACGCTAACAACCACGAGCAGACCACCCTGCGTCCCATTACAAATCCATATCGACCCGACGTTTCCTGCAGTCACTGTCCCAGCACCGTCCTGTCTCTCCCCCCCACCTCCCTGAGGAATGCTAACCTAGCTGTGTGTGTGTGTGTGTGTGTGTGTGTGTGTGTGTGTGTGTGTGTGTGTGTGTGTGACAGTGGTGGAGCCAGGCTGGCTGTGTGGGCGGCCGAGGGTTTCCAAACAGTGGAATCTGTCACTGACACCCCTGGCAGAGCAATAAGCAGCGCCTTAATGAGCTCAGCAGATCACTCAACACACACACACACACGCACGCACGCACGCAC